AGTAAAAAAACAAGCTTGCTTCATTTGGATTTGCAAAAAGAAAAATTGTTTTAAAAAAGGAGTACACACAAATATTAATACTGACATAAACAGTGTATTTGATATTAAACTGTTAATGGGAAAAGAGCTTATTTTAGTTTATTGGTGCCTGTGGTTGAGGGGTAATTGTCTTAATGAGCAGCTTAATGATGGTGAGTGAGATACTAATGCTTTAAAACAACTCTGTATGATTTTACCCTTTAATATTAGTTTCAAAATCATTCAGATGGTGCACTGACTTATAATAAGACGAATGGATTCTGAGTAGGCAAGTGCAAAAAATACAGACAACTACATTTTGGACACAGCTTGTGAAATAGTTTGGTAAGCTCAACATTTTACAACAGTGTTGTTGTCATAATATTTCATTAATATGTATTAACATGCTTATGAAAATACAATGGAATTTAATGCCATTTTTAGCTCAAAAAATAGTTTTAGGTTGCATTTATTACTCACCACATGTTTTAGTTTTTGGGTCGTGTTAATGGTTGCTATGGTTTTGGGATGTTTGGTTTATTTTATTGATTTCATTTGACAGTGATAAACTCAACATTTTCTCTGGAAACCTTAGTAATCAGACATTAATACTATCAACATTGACTAAATCCACTGTTCATGCAGTTGGTGTCATACGTTTGTCATTTTCTAGACCTAAAGTGATGGTTAACCTATTAAATATCTGTATTTCCCTTCTAAAATCTTTAGGCTATACTGTTTTCTGCGTCTAGAAACTCTAGTCTAAATTTCATTTCATTCACTTGAACAGAAGGTGGCGATAAAGTCTGTCACAATAGAGACATTATTATGTTGTTTATTGAGCATTTAGTGACATCTCATCTGATATATCATACAGTGACTGAGATTGTTCAGTCACTCTGACTCACAAATCGTTTAACTAATAATGAATTTTAATAAGTGTTATGAAGTTTCTGTAAGTACTAAAGTGTGTGTGTGAACAAAGTATAATTTATGGTTTGTCAGCTGGATTTTTGAAAAATTATTATTATTTGTGATTCTCATTCAGGACATTATTTGCATAGGCCTATATAATTTTTGCATTCCCATTACCTCCAACAGCAAAAGAAAAACCCCACTATTAGGTTTACACAGATTTCAAGAGGGAAAACAAATGGTGGATTATGACAGTCAGAAGATAAAAAATATATTAAGTTTACAGTCACTCCCTCAGCAGCTGTTTTTTAAATGTATTATTATTGATTTATTTTGGAATTTAATACCATGGTAATATAACACGACAGTATAATGCAAATTTGCCAAATTTACGATTCTATAATTGTTGCAGAAATGCTTCATGATTGTGTGTGAAAAGAGTTAATTGTTGCTCTAGGACAGTAACAGGAACTGGGGCATTAAATACATGTACAATAATTATAATATCGTGCTAATAAATAGCTGTGCTAATAAACAGTATTACATTGCAATTGCTGAATTCCCTCAAGGAATATGTGTTCAGATGCATTTGTAAAAACCCACAGTAAAGATCACTGTGGTATCACAATAATGGGTAATAATGGTAATATTTTGAGATATAGTACTTTTTGGTAGATTTTTGTTAGTGAGTCCTATATAGTTCTTTATATAAAGTATGCAATATATGTGTGTGCGTGTGTGTGTACAGGTTTACAATGCTATTAATCTAATTGTATGATTATATCTGTAGTGAAAGACCATTCATTTACATTTTTTGGTGTTCCAATGGTAACATATTTTCTTCCATTCCAGGAGATGTTAAACATTTTAAATCAATGTTAACTTCCTGCTAAACCACATGAGTTACAATAAGCTGTCTGAGGGAAAGGCATATCTTTATCTTGAATGTTACACTCATACGTTTAGAAAATGTATCCTTTCTTGTGTAATGGTTTAGACTAAAAACATAACTGACTATATTTTGAAATTTTTTAAAGGATAAAATTGAGAAAACAGAGGCTAATAAAGCCAATCAAGTAGCTTAATGCTTTCATTATTTTGTAAAACAGCATTATGATAAGACACCAATAAATATATTTATTCATTATATTTAGAGTCAAATAATGAGCATGAGGTGTAATTCCGTCAAGTTCCGTCATACTGCTAAGACATTTGATAAATCTATTCAATGTGTACATGCTGTTTTGCAAAATTCTCATAAGATTTGCTATAACAAAGGAAAAACTCCAGTTAGACAAGCTCAGTTATAACCAATGGATTTTAATTATTAGTTGGATATTATGCAAGAGGGTTTGGGTGTGTAGTCTGAAATAAAGTTGGGTAGATATGCAGTTTATTTATTAGTAGATAATGATTATAAGGCACATACTATTTGTTACCATTTCAACAGGTACAGTACAGACTCATAACTCTTACAAACATTTTATTTATTTAGTCATTTAGCAGACGCTTTTCTCCAAAGCGACATACAAATGATCCTGCAGTGACTGATATTGATAATTGATATTATCATCTTCATTTTCTGTATCAGTACTAAAGTGTTCTGAACACAAAGTATCAATTCTGGTTTCTCACCTGTTCATGTGTCAGCTGATATTTATTCTCTGTGTGATCCACATTCTGTACATTCCTTACATTCTGAATGCAGTCATTTCATCAAAAAATATAGAATTATGGATTATGGCAGTCAGAAGAGGGAAAGATGTCAAATGACCAGATAGTCCCTCAGCAGTATTAGAAGTGTTTACTAGTATTTTGTAAAAAAAAAAAAAAAAAGACTCATTGTGTGCTTTCTGAATTCCCTCAAGGAAGGTGTGTTCAGTCATTCTCAGGTTTTATAATGTGTAAAGCCTAAAAAACTCACAGGAATTGTACAGGGTAATGGCATATTTTAATACAGTATGTTGCTGGATTATGGGGCATAATAGTTTTTGATACTTATTTTTTAGTAAATCGAGTAAGTGAAGGATATACAGGCCAATATAAAGTATTTATATTTTTAATGTGAGATTATATTTGAAGGAAAGATTCAAGGTGAGTTTTTTTTTTTTTATATAATACTGGCAGTATTCCAACAAAACGTTTTTTTTCTTCCATTCCAGGAGATGTTTCCCTGTAAACAGTGCCAGGACGTGCTTAATAACCGATGAAACTTCCTGCTAACTCACAGCAGGTGCAAGAGCAGCTCAGAAGAAGCTGTATGAGGTAAGTCAAATCTTTCTATTTAATATTACTAAACTATATGCTCTTTCAGTTTATCCTTGCATGTGTAATGGATTATGCAACTTAAACATTACATAATGGGTATATTGTGCTATACATGTTAAAAGTTGAGAAAAAAGCAAAAATAAAGCAACAGGCCAATTAAGTTGCTTATCATGTTTATGATTTTATAAAACAATATATACGATAGAAGATGATAGAAGCAATATGATAGAAGATATCAGTGTTCACAAAATATTTACCTTTATACATGAATAATATTCAGAATTAAATAGTTCTTTCACGTTATATAGGTGTAATTAGGCTTTAATATGGATTTCAGTCACTTTATATTAGGTGTCTTGATCTACTTTGCATTTGTATTTATAAAATTATAACATGTAATGTAAAATCTTTGATAAATCTGCTTATTGTGTACATGTTTTGCAAAATTGTTTGTTATAGAAGACCGATCAGGTAAGGTCTGATTTGACACACTTAAAAAAATTGAAAGTAAATTACACAAATAATTATAAAGAAATGGCAAGTAACACACTGAATTAAACAGGAAATTTAAAAGACTGAAATAGTATTTTCTTGTAAAACATACTATGTATTTCCAGGAAAATGCATTGTATTTACACAGTATTTTACAAGAAAATGTTTTCTTCTAAAATCAAATTTACATGGACTAAATCCATAAGATTAATTAATGTGTCATGAATTCATTTGCATTTAAAGATGCCCAATATAAAGTGGGATCGTTTGAATATTGATATATATCCTTTGAAAGCAGGTCCTACAGTCAAATTTCAAAGCTAGAAATATCTAATTTCTAATAAATTATTATTATTTCCGATATTCCAGATTGCCATCGGTTTAGTGAGAATAAAGGGTAACACTTTATTTTGATGGTCCCTTTTGAACATTTTTTTGACAGCAAGTAATGTTGCACCTACATATCTACTAACTCTCATCAAAGTATTAGTAGATGGTTTGCTTAATATCTGCTAACTCTTTATTGCCATGGTCTCCCAACAAACATTCTACTGACTATAAGTAACGTTGCAAGTACATGTCAACTTATTCTAACCCTAACCCTACCAGTCTACTAATACTCTACTAATACTCTAATGAGAGTTAGTAGACATGTAGGTGCAATGTTACTTACAGTCAACAGAATGTGTTAAAGGGACCATCAAAATAAAGTGAAACCAAATAAAGCTCTTTCTGATTACAGAAGAAGGACCTCAGCATTGCGGTATTATCTCTGACTTCATCATGAGATTGTTTCTGGTTTCACAGCATCTGCTGGTGTTCATATCAGTCCTGTCACAGAGTAAGGTTTTGTTATCAGTTCGATTATCGGTCTTAACGTGAAAAAGACAATAAAATGTGTGACAAACAAATGTGTGTTTCTGAATTGAATAATCTCTCTTTCTCTTTAACAGCCAGAGCACAAACAACATCTGTACCAATAGCATTATCAACAGAAGGTACTTACTTTCCTCAAAGAAAAACAGTTCCTAATGGCTTTAAGCTTAGACGAAGTTCAGACAAGATGGACATCGTATAATTACACAGCTTTTCACCACATTAAAGGACATAAAATGTTATTTTAGAAGAAATGCATTTTAAAATCTTACCAGTTTAGTATATTAAATCCATTACAGCATAGAAAACAATCATTCTGGCAACAAGATTGTCATCGGGGAATAACAGACCTTGGAATGTCATAACTGACCAATCAGAATCAACTATTCCAGAGAGCTGTGTATAAAATGTAATAATGTTTTTCATGCATTACAACAACAACATTGGCAGGTACTTGTAGACCTTTGAATTAGAACCAGATCTGTAAAAAAAAAAAAAAAAAGTCCCCCCTGAGAAATTACCAGGAAAGAAAACCACACTTAGCTAATGAGGTATTCTATGGTGTTTGTATTCGTGTTCATTGTTACAGAAACCAGTACAAAAACCTCATCAGTCACTCCAGGTGATAAAACTGCAAATAATTTAAAAAATCATCATATGGCTATGCAACATTTTTTGTTTTCATTTTTACTTATGTAGTTTACGGAAGTTTGTTAGAATTGTATGCTCTTTTTCTTTAATAGAAACTACAACAACACCTGTACCTACAGCAACATTGGCAGGTACTTATAGACCTTTGAATTAGAACCAAATCTGTTTTTAAAAAACTTCTCCCATTATGAACCTAAGAAATCAGTGCGCATCGTCTATAGGAATTTTTTTTGCACTCATCAAGTGAGTGCATAATGTATTTAATGGCGTTTGTATTTGTGTTCATTCTTCCAGAAACCACTACATTGGCAACTACATCAGTCACACCAGGTAATAAAGCTGCGAGTGATAAAATAATCATCATACGGCTATGGAGCATTTTTGGATTTAACTTCTTTCTTATGAATTTTACAGAAGCTTGTTGTAATTTTATGCTCTTTTTCTTTAATAGAAATTACAACAACTGTACCTCCACCACTACCAACAACAACAACAGTAGCAGGTACTTTTAGACTTTTGAATGAGTCTAAAAAAAAAACCGTCCCCCCTGAGAAATCAGTTAGTATGTCTACCAGGAAAGAAAACCACACTTGTCAAATGAGTTCATGAGGTATTCTATGGTGTTTGTATTTGTGTTCATTCTTCCAGAAACCACTACAGAAACCACATCAGTCACACCAGGTAATAAAACTGCAAGTGATAAAAAAAAAAAATCATCATACGGCTATGTAACATTTTTGTTTTAATTTTTTCTTATGTAGTTTACAGAAGATTGTTGTAATTTTATGTTATTTTTCTTTAATAGAAATTACAACAACACCTGAAACAACAACAGCAGCAGCAGCAGCAGGTAGGTACAGACCTTTGAATTAAACTCGTTTTTCTCAAAACCTGCTATTTACTGATGCGGCCAGTAAAGCCCATTGCTTTCAATGCAAACCTTCAACATCTATAAAGTGGAGCAAAGGGCATTGATATTTTTATGCTTGTAAAGCTAGTTTCTTAAAGGGGTCATATGATGCTGCTAAAAAGAACATTATTTTGTGTATTTGGTGTAATGAAATGTGTTTATGCAGTTTAAGGTTAAAAAAACACATTATTTTCCACATACTGTACATTATTGTTTTTCCTCTATGCCCCGCCTTTCTGAAATGCATAAATTTTTACAAAGCTCATGGCTCTGAAAAGCGAGGTGTGCTCTGATTGGCCAGCTATCCAGTGCGTTGTGATTGGCCAAATACCTCAAGCGTGTGACGGAAATGTTACACCCCTTAACATACTGTGATGCCATGTCCGGCCAGAGCGACGAGACATAAACATTAAAACCCATTATAAACGAGGCATTTGTTGCATCCAGTGGGGACATAATTACGGATTATAATGACTTCTACTGTCTTTTTGCGTTGCATCGCACTGTGTAAACATAAAACCATGTCTGCATTTGTGATCGGAGAAATGACAAACAACAA